CTAGAGGCACTAGCGTTGGCGGCGCTGGAGCTAGAGGAGCTGGAGCTGGAGACCCTGGCGCTGGAGGCGCTGGAGCTGTTGCCCCTGGAGCCGGAGGTGCTGGCTCTGGGGGGACTGCGTCTGGCGGTACTGGTGGTGGAGGCACTGTGCAGCGGCGTCCGTTTTATGTTCCGCCGCCACCGTCGTCTCTGCCGCCACCTGACTCGGTCCTTCGCCAGGTTCTTAGTCTCCCGTCTTCTACTGGCCTTCCTCCTAGCTTACTGAGTCCACCGCCTCACCAGTCGCAGCCACAGTTACAGCCAGACTCCCCACTGCCTGCTCCTTAACCTTACGCTAAGCAGACAGACTCTTTTACAGAGCGTCGTGAGCCTGAGTCTCGTCCTGCCTGGCATGTTTGCGTTGTTCGCAGTGGTCGTCGTGTTCCTCCTCCTGTCCCAGGCACTCACACTATGGCACTTCGTTCTTCCTCTGTTCCACTGCGAGTTCCTCTGCCGCCTCCTCTTGAGTCCTCTCTTCCTGCCGTTCCTGACCCTGAGTCTGACCTAGCTCGTGCTGCCAGTCCCGCTATCTCTCGTCTTCTTGCCACTGTTTGTCATTGACCCTTCTTTTGAGTCCACTTCTGCGTCTGCCCTAGTTGCTGAGCTTGTTGACTTTGATGTTGTCTGTCGTCTCGACTACGCCACTAGTCTTGTTGCTGAGTCTGAGTCTGACTGTCCTCCGTCCATCAGGGGTGAGTGTGCTCTTGGCACGGACGTTCTTGAGGATAGGCAAGAGGACTTTGAGTGCCTTGCAACTGATGTACCTCGACATCCCGACCCCGCGCTCTTAAGCAGAGGTGATTACGCGTCCCTACTCCTCTTAGTGGCAGACAACCATGGACGCAGAGATGGCATCCTAGAAGTCCATAGGCACCTACGTCGACGTAGTTCACCCTGCTGGGACGAACATAGTCGTTTGCATGTGGATCTTCAGCGTGAAGCGGCCGCCCGGTTCTCCGTCTGTCTTCAAGGCTCGTTACGTTGCACGAGGCTTCAATCAGCGACAGGGAGTTGACTTCTTCCATACCTTCTCCCCTACCCTGAAGATGACCACTCTTTGGGTGTTGCTGCACGTCGCAGCTCAGCGTGACTAGGAGCTGCACTCTCTTGTCTTCAGCACAGCTTTTTTGCAGGGCAGCCTGCACGAGGAGATCTGGCTGCACCGCCCACCTGGCTTCACTTGGTCGTTTCCTGCAGGTACCAAGTGGAGCCTCCCGCGGCCAGTCTACGGTCTCCCTCAGGTGCCTCACGAGTGGCACGCCTCACGAATGGCACGACACACTGAGGACGACACTTGCGGCTCTTGGGTTTGCTCCTTCGACTGCTGACCCATCGCTGTTTCTACGCACCGACACTTCGTTGTCGCCGTTCTACGTCCTCGTGTACGTCGACGACTTGGTTTTTGCCACTGCTGACACTGAGGAACTGGCCCTTGTGAAGTTGGAGCTGCAGAAGAGACACACCTGCACTGACCTGGATGAGCTGCGCAGCTATCTTGGCTTGCAGATCACCCGGGACAAAGCACGGCGCACCATCACCCTGACTCAGTCACACATAGTGCACCAGGTCCTTCAGCGCTTTGGCTTCCAGTACTCCTCGCCACAGTCCACTCCTTTGCCTACCGGTCACTCGCTCCCAGCTCCACCTTCGGACGAGTCCGTAGAGCCGAGTGGCCCGTATCTAGAGCTTGTGGGCTGCCTCATGTACCTGATGACATGCACTCGACCTGGCCCTGTCTACCCTCTTAGCATCCTGGCACGCTACGTTGCGCTCGGGAGACACCGACCAGAGCACTGGGAGGCCGCTAAGAGGGTGTTGCGCTACTTGTGCAGTACTTCGGGCATGGGACTCGTGCTTGGAGGACGAGATCCAGTTGTCCTCACTAGACACGCAGACGCTTCTTGGGTTGACGACTTGGCTACGCAGCGGTCGTCACAGGGTGACACCTTCAGCCTTGGCTCCGGCTCTGTTTCTTGGCGGTCTACCCGCTCGTCTTCTGTTCTCAGTTCCAGTTGCGAGGCTGAGATCTATGCAGGGGCCATGGCTGCACAGGAGTTACGCTGGCTCACCTACCTGCTGACCGACTTGGGAGAGCGGCCTCGTTCTTCTCCAGTTCTGTATGTAGACAACAAGGCCATGATTGCCTTATGTCAGGGGCACAGATTGGAGCACAGAACGAAGCACATTGCTCTGCGTTACTTCCTTGCTCGAGAGTTGCAGCAGCGTGGTCAGCTTCGTCTTGCTTACGTGGCCACTCGGGCCAACACTGCTGATATATTCACCAAGGCACTTCGGTATGGTGATCATCAGCGGTTCTGTATTGTTTTAGGCCTTGTGCCTACTTTGCCTCAGTTGCTCACTGTGTGTTTTTGCTTGTACTGTGATCTTTTTATAAATATCTGCATGCTTACACTTGCTAGGGTATGATCAATGTACTGTTTGTTCTCTTTTATATAACTCTGCATGTGAACTGGCCTTGTGGCCATTTGCTTGTGCTCGGAATGTGTGGTGCCCACTTGTTCTCCCCCACTTTGCCTATGGGGGTGTGTCAAAACTGTTATAGTACTTACTTTGTGTAGGCTATAGTGGGGTAGCCCATAAAGGGTACAATCCAACTAGGGTTAGTACTCGTACCCAACTTGTGTTCAATGCATTCATTCTCGTTCTATATTCCGACAGAGTTCTCGCCTTTTATACGAGCATTGGACAGCAAGAAGAGGCCCTGAAGAGATTGAACTTACACTGAGCTGCTGATAAGGTAATTGACTGTTGGTCGGTGGTACGACGAGTTGTACGTATTTGGTCGGTGTGTGTTGCACTGGACCATGTGAGGAGGGTGCCTTAAAATTATGATTCCTTTGGTGGGGAAACCTGGGGGAAGCCCGAGGGACATAATATTGCTGGACACTTCCGTTTCGTGCACTACGGTACATACATACAGGGAGGTGATGGGTGGGAGAGGAACGAGTGCTGCGCTTGCGCTGAAACATATTGCGAAATCGAACCGCACAATGCGGCGTGATAAGCTATGTTGCGACTCGTTCCCGATGCGCAGCACGATGAGTATTTCCAATCGAGTCGTTCAAACGAGTTTATTTGATTCGCGAAACTTGAGTGGGTCGGCGAAGGCGAAACTGAAGTATTGCCGTTCGTTAATGTCGTGCGTGTGCAGCACTTCGTTCGGTTTCGCGAAATTCACTGAGTTCACTATCGCTGTTCAGTACATGGCGCCTTGGAGCCCATTCAAGATGGCCGCAGACAGGACGAACATCGTGCCAGCCTGTTGCTTCATTTCCCGTTCTAATATGGATCGTTACACTACAAGAGTGAACTGTATTTCTGACTGTGATTATGATGTGCTTGTGTGCTGCATCCAGCTTTACTTTGCTAAAAAATGGTATCAATCATATGGCAAACATGTAAGCCGACAACACATAAATCCTTTCATTCCATCGTGGACCAACATGCTGGTCTACAGTTTATGCGTGAACATTCAGGCTGGTTAGTAATGGTTCGACTTGCTGAAGTGTTCACACCGCTGCAGAGTGCACCACATTATCGTACTCAACTGCTTGCACTAAACATATTGTGCTACACCTTAGTGACCTGCCCCGGGAGGTCCCTAACGTTCAGTGGGTCTGAGTACCGTACATCATATTATATGCATCTAGTCAGTCTCAATGGTGTGAAGAGATGATATGCTAAAAGGCGCCAGCCAATCAACGATGTTTCGGGTGAGATTATGAAACCAGTAAAGTGGGGTATACTAGTAGTGACTGCTGCTGAGAGCATTTGTGTTGTGCTAGGTTTAAACTCCCCCCCCCCCCCCCCAATCCTTCTACTTGCGAGTGCGAGCCAAGGAGGGTAGTATTACTGGTGGACTAGAAACAAGTCTGCCTAGAAGGTGGGAAAGCCAGTAGGATGGAATGAGGACACTATGATTGCGCTTGGGAGCTTGCATCAGGTGCCAAAGGCATTTCACCAATGCAAGAAATCGACACCGATGGAGGGAAACGGTTATGCATATTAAGAAACACACCCATATACTGTCCTATGTATTGCTACTGTCATCGAAGCGCTGACAGAATGTCGTTTCCTAGCCTAGCTGCATGCAGCCTCGACAGCTACAGCTATCCCACCGTCCACTCTTGCCGAACTCTGGATCTTCATACCTTTCAGGAGGAATGGGGGGAAGGAGTCAGTTGGGGCAGTTGGAGGTAAGCATTACGGGGGACCATCAGGTAAGTTAAATAGGCTGGTAGCATATCAGTTTGCATCGGCCCCTGACATGCCAGTTAGCATGGCGGGCTGTCGCCATGTTAGTTGGCATGGGGACCGGCATTCAGCTTCATAAAGACAGCGTAGAGAAGAGTGCTCGGATCCCCCAGAGGAAGATCGTACGGCGGAGTGAACACCTGAGTGGCGTTCACTGTAGGGCCCACTGTTGCTGTACCAGCTGCAGTTGCAGTTACATTGGCACCTGCCCCAGCTGCACCTGCACCTGCTGCAACTGCCCCAGCCGCAGCTGCACTTGCTCCAGGTGAAGCCTTGATAACGTTGGTGGTGTTGGTGGTGTTGCTACCTGCTTCCGCTACTACACCTGGAGGGACAGACGTGGTGTTCGCCACCACTTGTACTGAATCGAGTCCGCTTATAAAGAGGTTGCTCTGCAGCAGCACCTGGGCCGCCGCCCTGGCTTCCACTGCGCTCCCAGTCCAGTTGGTGTAGAGATTGTTTGCCACGTGGCACTTGCCTAGCCTGCACATCGGCTGCATTGCAGATAGCGACTGGAACCAGTTCCTGTAGACAGTTACATTCATGTCGCGGTTAATTCCGTCGCCATCTGATTGGCCCAGGTGGAGTGCCGAGCCTGTCCCCGAGGCTGGGCTTGCCGAGGCAGTGAGGGTTTGCGTGCCGAGCGTGCCATAGAAGAGATTGTTGGAGATGGTAACCGCGGTGCTGTTACGGGCGAGCTCGATGACCGGGAGGGTGGCTGAGAGGTTGGAGAAGCGGCAGTGGTCGATCCACGTGCTGCTGGTGTTGTAGAGGGAAATGGTTGCAGGAGATGTTCTGCTGCTGGAAACTGCAAGCACGGATGGGGGGGGGTGGAGAAGCACAATGGTATAAGTTGAGGTGGTGTTGATTGAAATGACGAAGAGTGATAAAGGTGGCTGCTAGAGAGGAATTTTGGAAAATGCATGAGAAGAATTTTATGAAGCATTGCACATGACTTACATTCAATGTTATGAATGATGACTTGAGTTGAATGTTGCACCAGCAAGCTGTCTCCCACGATTTTCACGTTGACCCCTCGCCCATCCAGAGTCATGAACGATTTCACATATAGCGGCGCCATTAGTTGAATTGTCATGTCGCGAGCGAATGTAATAGTAGCGCCAGTTTTGTAGAAATTCGAGATTCCCCACCGAAGCGAACCCTGTCTTGTAGCGGATGTCGAATCCTCCTCTAAAGTGACGACGTATGTGGATTTCCCGGCGCCACCAACCAAACCCGGGGCGGCGAAACCCATCGCGCAACTCCCTAGGCTGATTCCGGCACCCGCAGGGGAGTACTGGCAATCGTTCGAGCTCGGAGGCGATGGTGCGGTAACGGTGCTGTTACCACCGGCAGTGCTGTTACCAGTGGTAGTGCTGTTACCAGTAGAAGTTGTGTTCGCAGTCGCAGGAGGAGTGGTGGTGGGTGCGGGAGGTGGGGCAGGCGGAAGGAATTGTCCCGAAGCAGGGGGCAGTGCCGAATCGACATCATACTTGGGACCGCAGTTGATTTTCAAAATAGACGCCATCTGACGGGGGTTCCGCGGCAGCGTTAGCGCGTAGGGCGGCGTGAAGATCGGAGTGGGGCCGGCATACGCTGTCTTATTAAACGTCGCGCATCCAGCCAAGTAGTCTTGGAACGAAGCGATAGTGACTGTAGCGTCGGACCAAACGTCTGTGGCCGGCATGCCTCTATACCACGGCGTCACCTCCTGTCGCGCCGAGCCCGGCGCCGGCCGGAAAAAGTTTTTCTCTGACCGGATTTGCGCTCCGCGGCGCGCGGCGAGGCAGTAGTAGGACCAGTGGGTGTAGAGGTTGTTTGCCACGTGGCAGAGGCCCTTGCGGCAGAGCGGTTGCATGGATCCAGATGTGTTGAACCAATTGCGGTAGATCGTGACTCGCATATTCTTGTCCGCTTCATCCGTGTCCGACAAGCCAAGCTGCAAGCGGGTAAAGAGAGAAACGGGAGGGATGGCCGGAGAAAAGGGTTGAGACAGGAAGCATTGGGGAGAATTGAAAAAAAGTAGCCGAACGGGAGAGAGAAGGGTCGAAACGCAAGCATTTTTTTAGAATCTGAGGAGACAAACTAAGGCCGGGACGGGAAAGGAGGGGAGAGGAACAAGAAGACGAAGGGGGGAGGGGGGTCAGAGAGCGAAAAGGTAGTTTGGGGGTGAATGGGGAGCGGGCGCTATAGGGTAGGAACGCAAGGAGAGGGGAAAGGTAGCAACAAAATGTTTCTTATTTTCGACCTGGTAATTGGTTTTATGTCTTATCAGCCGGGGTATGTCTGCATCCACCAGGGAAACAATGCGCCATTACCTGCATCGTCTGCCCGCGGCTGCTGATGTAGCTGTTCGAGATGGTGACGTCAGTGGAGCCCCTTGCCACGTCGACCGTGCCCGTGAGGGCATCCTGCAGGCGGCAGTGGTCGATCCACACGCGACTGCTGTTGTAGATGGGAATCAGATCGCCTCGCGGGTTACCCGACACTGTTACAGCATCGGCAGCACGAAATGGGACAGACAGTGAACAGGAAAGATTCGAGTGAGGTTGAGTGTGTGATAATAGAAAGGGAGAGGTTGGAAGCTGGGGGAAGTGTAGGGATGATTGGGGGAAAGAGAAGGAAGCGGAAAGGGAGGAACAATAGAGAATACTATGAATTTAGAGACCTAGAGCGACTCCGTACCTTCGATATTATGAATGATGACGTCATTCACGTTTTGCAGGACGATGCTGCCATTGGTGATGCGCACGTGCACGCCGCGCCCGTCGATCGTCACTCGCGAACGCAAAAACAGGTTACTCTGTAGCACGATCTCCATGCTTCGCGCAAACGTGATGATCACTCCGTCGGGGAAATTCATCAGCGCGAACCGTAACGATTTCTCCACGGGCCTCCCGTTCACCACCGTGTCATCTTCCGTTTCAACTTCGTACAACGATGATGTCGGCCACTGGCCGCCGCGGATCTTGGCGGACTGCGCGAATCCAACGGCGCATGCGTGAAGCTGCTTGACTTGCCCGTACTGGCAGTCGCGCGATCCCACGGCATATGCTGGAGTAGTCGCTGTCTCGGTAGAGTTTCCGGCTGACCCGGTGCTATTTCCTGCCGGCGCGGTAGAATTGCCGACTGCACCAGTCGAATTGCCAACTGCACCAGTCGAGTTGACGGCCTTGGTCGTTACCAGCGGTGAGCTACCAGCTGATAGAACGGTCGCGAGTGGTTTTGCTGAAGGTGCGGGATTGGAGGGAAGAGCACCGGGCTTAGGATGGGACGCGTCGGGCTTAGGTGCGTCCGGTTTGGGAACAGGGGGCAGCTTCGGCACCGAACCACTCTGATTCGGCGAGGAGTCACTCTGCTTCGGCGTGGGGCCACTCTGCTTCGGCGTGGGGCCACTCTGCTTCGGCGTGGGGCCACTCTGCTTCGGCGTGGGGCCACTCTGCTTCGGCGCGGGGCCACTCTGCTTCGGCGCGGGGCCGCTCTGCTTCGGCGTGGGGCCACTCTGCTTCGGCGTGGGGCCACTCTGCTTCGGCGTGGGGCCACTCTGCTTCGGCGTGGGGCCACTCTGCTTCGGCGTGGGGCCACTCTGCTTCGGCGTGGGGCCACCCTGCTTCGGCGCAGGTAAGGACGCGGGAGCGGCGGCTGCGGTTGCGGTGGCGCCATTGTTGGCTGGCTTTCCCTTGGCGAGTGCAGCAGGAGAGGGTTTCTCTGTGGGAGTCTTCACCAGAGCGGTAGGATCTGCGTTAGTGGAAACGACGGGCCGGGAAGCAGCAGGCGCGGCAGCCGCAGTAAAAGCAGCAGGGAGAGGCGTGGCGGTAACTGCCCCCGCGGGATCGGCGTTGCCAGGGGTCACGACAGACGCAGCGAGAACTTCCGCGAAAGTGGGGCCGGCGGATGGCGCGGCCAACTGCGCGCCAAGCTTCCGAGGCACGGCAGCTGTCCCCATCGCTGCAAAACCGTCGCTCCCTGCTGCCGTCTCAAGAGCGCTTCTGCCGCGGACGGTTCTGACGGCACGTGGCCACCAGAAGTGCGCGGATTGGCTGGAATCGCCCTCGCATGGCGTGTTCGGAAGCTCGCCCAACGCCGCGGCACCTTGCGTCGCGGTGACGACGAAAATTAGCAAAAGCAACGCTTTCAAGCGTCTCGTGGTATTCCCCATGGTCGCCACTATCAGCGGATAACAGATTGCTGTTATTACGGAGAAAACTATTGCCTTCTTGCAGCTAAGACTCAATGTGGTGGTCCGAAATCCTAAACGAAAGCGATACTGCAGCTGGCACAAATGATTGTGTGCTTGGACTGCCTACCTGCCACCCTGGACTGTCGAACGCTCTAAATAGATGCGTTGACAACTGCTCGTCGTGACCTTTTTAAGGTAAGCAGCTGTGTGTTTATGTCTCGCTCGCGAGGTGGTGATATGGTTGTTTGACAACTTCCATGCGGTTGGAGCAAGTCAGAACGGCAAGGGCAGCTCCATCCTCTGCAGCAACTCAGCTCGAAATTACAGGCCTCCCATCCCATCCCATCTCACTCTCCCCAATGCAAACCTGGCTCATGGATGGATCCAACCCACAGAGCAGAAAGGGGCGCGAATTGCACGAAGAGGGGCATCCAATTCCCGCTGTGCGGTGGCAACATTTGAGCGAAAATTTGAAGAGTATCGAATCGCGCGTGGTCCTGCCAAGTCGCGAAATTCACCTAATCGAGGCGCATGTTGGCAAATGGGTGGAAAATTGTCGTCTGCCAAGACGCATTTTCCGGCAGCTCCTACGTCTACACTCATAACCAAATTCTGACAGCGTTGCCTGTAAATCGGACTCAGAATAATCTTCTGTCACGATAAGCCTTCCAGAAGATCAGAGAAAAAGGGCAGATTTGGAGGCTGGTCGTATCCATCCCGAACTATACTTGGTGAATGGGTCATGATCTGCATTAACACAAGCCTAATTGTAGCTCGATGTCCACATATGATCCACAAGCCTGAGTTGGAACATGACAGGTTAGGATTAATGTAAAATAGCATGTCTAGTGCAAGCACTAGATTCTCACTTTCAGAGTTATCACTTTCAGCAAGTACATAGGTCAACTGGAAAGTGAAGATTGGGATGGATGCCTGCACTGACACAGTGCGAAGTACCAGTTCTATGCATTTTGACTTCCAAACGACACAAGGAGAAAGGCAAACAGCACAAAGAAAGCTGGAGGTGGAACCTTCACCACTTATCAGATATGATTATAATTAGGGAATCCAGACTCGCAAGAGGATTGGATGCATTATTAATCATGAACTGGCACATTGGATTCGTAACAAGGCGAGAGCCAGATTGACGTTTCATTTTAGAACAAATCAACACAAGCTCATGCAAGACTGCAATGCAAGGTAGGAGCTACACTCTGGCTACCGCATCCTACCATGGCACGAAAAATTCAGGCCATTTATTTACTTGGCGGCAGCAGCAGGGTAGTGGAAGTAGATGGTGCGGCCGTTAAGCGGCTGGGGCATGCGGTTGTCGGTGCGATCCTGGTTGGAAACCGCCATAATGTTCATGAACTGAATCGTCTGCGCCACGGAGAGCGGCTGCGCCTTGCGCAGCACGTGCCACGAAACAATCTCGTCGCACTCGGGCGTGGTGAGCGAGCCGGGATACGCCCAGAAGCCGGACGACGCGTCGATAATCTCGCTCCAGAAGTTGGGCGTGATGGAAATGGTGGCATTCGCGTTGTTCTCCACGGGCGCCTGCGGCAGCCACTGGTTGACCCACGCGGAGTCGTCGTCGTGGCGGTGCACGCGCAGCATGACGCCCACGACGGCGAGCTTTTTGGGGTCGAGCGTGTTCACGTGCACGAAGTGCGCCTCCATGGGCGCGAACAGCCCGTTGATCGCGTGCTCCGAATACGTGTGCACGTGCATCTGCAGCAGCTTGTAGTCGCCCGATGCGAGGTGCAGCAGGTGCGTCTCCTCCGGTGCGGGAATAACCTCTGCAATAAACAGTGGAGAAAAAGGGGATGGAACGATGGTAGGGGGTTTTGGATTGAGGACGGCCGGGAGAAGCAATTTCGACGCTTTTGTTACTATAAACGACGGCAGTATATTACAGACGAAATCCTAGATGCGCAGCAAAGTTAAGCTCGAATGTGGTAGCACCATCAAGGCAATTCAAGTAAAGTCGCGAATTCACAACGTGCGTGATAAGTGCAATTTTCCCCTCCCCTGGGACTGAGGTTTGGGACTCACGGATGGTGGAGCCCTTGTTGACGACGGACGCCTGCTTGCTGGTGCTGCCGTACTCGAGCGAGAAGAGCTCCGGCTTCTTGCTCTGCACCGTCTTGTCCATCACGATGTTCACCGGCGATTGGCGCTCGCCTGTCGCGCACGCGCCCTGCACGTCGTAGCCAAACGAATATCGAATCCAGACGAACATTGAAAGGTCGAGTCAGTGCGAAGTCAATGGGCGTGATAATCAAAGCGCACACACAGTGAGATTGTTGTGGCTGCTGAGAGCGAAGAGCTGGCGGGCTAACGCGTTGCTACGATTGCCGATTGTTTGGCGATTGGAGAATTGAGGAAATTAGGATTGGACGTGCGGGGGATGGTCCCTACCGGCCAGTCAGTGCCGCTCTTCTCGTAGGTGAAGGCCCCAGTTGCGGCATTGGCCACAGCGGCGAAAGCTGCGAGCAGCACAAGGGCGACGGCGATTGAGCGAGCCATGGCTTGCTGCTGTTAGCTTCTGGTTGTCGAGAGATTGGATGCACTGGGATTCAATATGCGATTGTTATTGATGATGAAAATGAAAGATGAGGATCGAGTTTTTGTATGGCAAGAACGTTGTGTTGTATCACGAATCGCGTCGCGTCCCCATCGCAGCACATCCTGGTGCTTTGTGGTTTGGGTTGGGCTGCTTGTGAGGGGTTTCGCGAAAGCTTCACGAAGAGGAATGCTGACGAGAGCGAAAGGGCGATTTTCAGCCACCTCTGCATTCTCCGCTAGCGAAGTCCCATCACTGTCACCAAACAATAGATTCCTCTTCGGGCACACATGCGACTCGTCTGGGACGTAATCAGCAGGCTGTCCCGGTGAAGGCTGAATTTGCCCCAGAAATGCGAATGGCTCGAGATGTTAGTCCAGGTCCATCCTGGTTATCGTGCCTAATGAGTGGCTCTCACGATGATATTCCCGCGCCGCCCATCCATTCCAACCCCAGCATGACGTGATTGCAACGCGGCGCCAATTTCCAGGTTGAGTTCAGATGTGAAGTGAACGAGCGAAATTTGGCCTCGAAAGCACCGTGAATGGATGTCTTGCACGTGGAATCGTGGATGTTTGTGGTTGTGGGATGCCAAGCGAGGGGCGGATGAACCTTGCCTACTACTGACGCATAAAAGCAGAACCTATCCCAGAATGTGTCCAATCCCGCGAGCCAAGTTCTGTGCTTCGTTATGGGAAACCAGACTAAACGACTGATCTTCCTTTGAAGTATGGTCTACAGGTCCATATGCTGGTCCACCTAATCAATTTTACATTACTAGAGAGGAACATGCTAAGCATTAATAAAATGGATGGGTTTTATTGATCGTATGGTGGTTCGTCGATTTCCATGGAATTATATGCCTACATGCGCATTACCAGATTATTGCTTGTAAGCCCTTCTCAATACTCGTAGTTGTAACCCACGTTACGTCGAAACGAAGCACCTTTAGCGAGTAAACTTCCGTGGTCCATCATCTGTCGACCTAAACCCTCAATATCGAATTCGTTGTAGACTCTCTGTCACCTCCGTAATATTTTGTTTCTGCAAGTTTCCAAAGCTAGTTTTAACTCCGATTCCCCGTAACTAAGCGTCTTAGTTCAACTCCTGCACCATTAAATCCGCATCGTGATTCGTAACTCAGCGCCAAGACTGTATCACTGCGTCCCGCGCGCCGTCGACACCGCATACTTGACTCGTAGACGCGATGCCGAAGAAAAAGGGAGGCTCCGGGAGCCTGGGCTCGTCTTTAATCCGCCATAGATTCAACCGCGGTTCGGAGTTTCAGCACGCCGACGAGGGCCGACGCCACGTCATCGCCGCGGCGGAAGCGGCGGCGAAACCGGCGCTGGTGTCGGTGGTGGATCAGAGCGACCTGGAGGAGCTGCTGACGACTGCTGAGCTGGCAGGGCGGGAGTTTGCCGCCCAAAGAGGCAACGCCGAGATCATCTACCTAGATGGGTGAGAAGAGGAAAGAACAGAAAGCATCTCTGGGTGTAGGGTTTGGTTTCGCCCCCCGAGATTGTGGGATCTCTAGCTGTACTTGCTGGTCGTGTGTTGTTTCGTCCGCGGGTTGTGGGCTGCTGAGCTTGCTATTAATCTCTCGGGCGCCATCACGGATGGCGGCAAAGCTGCCACGTGTAGATGCGTCCATTTAGGGTTTTCGTAAACCTTGAACCCTGAACCCGAATCTATGACTGAGGGTTCATATTACAGGCACCTGCGAAGGTTCAAGTATCGTCGCCGTAAACTCCCAAATTTTTAATCCCTGGCGCGCTTTAACTCTGAGCCGCCTTCCGCCCTCCGCCCTCCGCTCTCCTCCCTCCGCCCTCCTCCCTCCGCCATCCACCCTCCGCTCTCCGCCGTCCGCCGTCCGCCGTCCACCTTTCTCCACCTACTGCTCCCTGCTCGCAGCATTTGTCTGCGAGAGTGTCTTTAGGCTGGGCGGCGGAGGGCTGATTGGCGCGCCCGTCCACCCCCAAACCCATCCTCCCCCCCCCCTTCCCACACCAACTCTTGGGGGGGCGCAAGGGGGGAGAGTCTGTTTCTAGGCGTTTAAGACACCCCCATCCACCTCCCAACCCTTATAGCGAGTCTCTTCCCCGCCCACTCGCTCCACACAACTCTCGCTGGAAATTTCAGTCGCTACCCAAAATTCTAAGAAGCTCAACCCAATTCTCGCTCGAGGTCTTTCGCCTTACACACTCACACCCTAATCGTCAGAAAAAAAAAAGAAAAAAAAAGAGGTTCCCCTTTCACCCTCCCTTGTTTGATTGTTTGAGTGGGGATGTATGGGCTCAGGGCTTAAAAGGCCCGCCTTCTCCCCTGAAATCTTCACAAGAAATCGTTATTCTCCCTCCCCTCCCCCCTCCCTTCCCTTCCCCCCCCCCCCCCCCCTCTTTCTCCGAATCATGGCAGCCATGATTTGGGGGCGGCAGGTGGGAAAGGCGGCAGCATCAGCGAGCGCAGGGAGCAGGAGGAACTTCATCGGAAGCTTCTTACCATCCCAAGACGGTGAGCGGAGAGCAGAGGGGATGGGAATGGCAGAGGAGAGGGAATGAGAGAGGGTAAGGGAAGTGGGGAGGGAGAAGAACAGAGGAGGGGATGAGAGGAGGGGGAACTTGCTTGGGCGTCTGTTGAGTGATTCGTGAAGAGAAGTTCGCACGAGAAGAGTTGAGTGATCATTTGTTGTTGAAAATCCAAGTTCATACCTTGTTTCAATAGAAAACAGTGATGAGGTAAATAAGATACCAATTCCCCCTTCCCCCCACCCCCCCCTTTCTCCCCGTCTCCCTCCCATCCCCTCTCACACTTCTCCACCCCCAGGCCCAAGTGGAGCGCGAGCATGACGTCAGCAGAGTTGGACGCTAGTGAGAAGGCGGCTTTCCTGGAATGGAGGCGATCTCTCTCCGCGTGAGTGGCTGGGGGGGGAAGGGTGGGAGGGTGCGGAAGGTGGGTGGAGGGGAGCGGAGGGGAGGGGAGAGGAGGGGAGAGGAGGGGAGGAAGTAGGGGACGGGGGGAAGGGAAGAGCGAGCTAGGGGCGGAAAGGGATGATGTTGCATGGGGGAAAGGGAAATGGGGGAGGAGGGAGTGGGGGATGTGTTCATTGATGGCGCATGGTCATGTGCATTGCATCCTGAGTGTCACCATTTGTGTTGCATTTGCGCGTGAGTGTAATCGAATGTGACTGTACTTCTGTGTGACTGTAACGAATGTGGGGTGACTATGTGGCAGGGTGGAGGAGAACAACCATCTGGTGGTAACCCCATTCGAGAAGAACCTTGACATCTGGCGACAGCTGTGGCGAGTGCTGGAGAGAAGCCACCTGGTGAGTGGTTACCCGGTTACCACCTGGTGGTAACCCCATTCGAGAAGAACCTTGACATCTGGCGACAGCTGTGGCGAGTGCTGGAGGGAAGCCACAAGGTGAGTGGTTTCCTGGTTACCACTAGATCTGTTGTTTAGCCGGCCACCGGATACAGCCTTTATAAGTCATCTTCTGCATTAGTGTACACTAATGGCTGCTGTAGTGTAGTCTCTCACTGGAGTAACTGTTACGATCGATTGCAGCCCAACTGTAACCCAATTGTAACTGTGACATCCACTGTAACCCTTCATCCAGGTGGTAACCGTGGTGGACAGTCGGGATCCTCTTCTTGCATTGACCTTTCAGCTGACTAAAGCCCTTTCCCAATCCAATCCACTGTAACCCCTCTTGCAGGTGGTAACCGTGGTCGACAGCCGGGACCCGCTCTTCTACCGCTGCACGGTTAACCCCTCTCTGCACTCTCCTCGAAGCCTACGTGCACGAGCTAGGAGCAGCACCCTCTCACATTCCTCGTATCCTTGACATTTATCGTAACCCTTTCTGCAGGTGGTAACCGTGGTGGACAGTCGGGATCCGCTCTTCTACCGCTGCTCTGACCTCGAAGCGTACGTGCACGAATTGGGCGTGGGACCCAAACACAGTAACGAGAGCACCAGCACCAGCAGCAGCAGCAGCAGCAAGTCGAAAGACGAGAGCAATAAGGACTTGGCAGAAGGGAGCAACAGGGACGCGACAGATGGGAGCAGCAGCAGGGCGGGAGGGGAGGGTTCGCTGAGCCGGACGCTGCTGCTGCTGAACAAGGCGGATCTTCTGCCTGCTGCTGTGCGGCGGCTGTGGGCGGAGTGGCTGAAAGGACAGGGCGTTGAGTTTGCGTTCTGGTCTGCTAAGGCTGCTGCTGAAGGGGTGGAGGAGGGAGAGGGAGAGGGAGAGGAGGAGGAGGAGGGGGAGGAGGGAGAGGAGGAGGAGGAGGAGGAGGAGGAGGATGAGAGTGAGGGTGAGTGGGAGGAAGCGGACGGGGAGGAGGATGAGGAAGAGGAGGAAGGCGGGGAAGCAGGTGAAGTTAGTAAGAAGGAGCAAGAGGAAAGTGAGAATGTTGAGGGGAAGGGGAGTGTGAGAGTGAGGGTGACTAAAGAGGATGTGAGGATACACGGCAAGGACAGCCTATTGCGGCTGCTCGAGGCGAAAGCTGCTGCGATCGCTGCTACCGCCACCGCCGCTGCTACTGCATCTGGTGGTAGTGCTGCTGTAGCTCCTGCCGCTGCTTCAGCAGGAGCATCTGGGGGGAGGAGGGAGAAGCAGAAGGACGGGCAGAAGGACGGGCAGAAGGACGGGCAGGAGAGAGTGGTGGTGGGATTTGTGGGTTACCCCAACGTGGGTAAGAGCTCTACTATCAATGCTCTTGTTGGGTCCAAAAAAACTGGTGTCACGTCCACTCCGGGCAAGACAAAACATTTCCAGACGCTGCCCGTGTCGGACTCGCTGATGCTCTGCGACTGCCCGGGGTTGGTTTTCCCGTCGTTTGCGTCTGCCCGGTCAGAAATGGTGGCTGCTGGAGTGCTACCCGTTGACCGAATTACGGATCAAAGAGGGCCTGTTGAGGTGGTTGCCCGAAAAGTTCCCCGGACAGCCCTTGAAACTATTTACGGGCTGACCTTTCCACCTCCACCTGCCCATGAAAGACCCGACAGACCCCCAAAGGCAGCGGAGATTCTTAAAGCCTATGCCCGGTCACGAGGGCACGTGGTTTCTTCTGGGCTGCCCGATGAAACCCGGGCAGCTCGAATTATCTTGAAGGATTACTTGAGTGGGAAACTGCCACATTTCGAGCTGCCCCCAGGCTGCCCAGAGGACTGTTTTAGCGACAAATTCTGGTTGGGCACAGAAGCAGGAGGAGGAGAGGGAGAGGGAGAGGGAGAGGGAGAGGAAGGGGAATTTCTGGTTTTAGACGCAGTTGACTTGGAGCATTTCGGAGGTATGGCTCTGGAAGAGGCCCAGCAGGCTGCCGCTGCTGCTGCTGCTGGTGATTCTCTTGGTGATGCTGACTATAACGAGGATGGGGTAAGCGGGGAAAGAAACGCCTCTAGCAGTGACAGCGCCGCTGCTGGTGCTGCTGGGGCAGGGGTGGGAGGCGGAGGGGGAAGGAGGCAGCAGCAGCCGGCAAAGGCGGAGCATAAGAAGCAGAAGAAGCAAGCGAGGAGCAAGAAGAGGGAGTGGAGGGTGGGCAGGGGGGGAGGGGATGGGGAGGAGGGAGCAGTGATCACAGTGAGGGGGGTGGTTAAACCGCTGAGCCATGGGGCGGTGAAGCCTGGGATGGTGCTGCCGGGTGTCAAACACTTGGTGCAGTGATAACGGTGGAGTGTGGTGATGGTGGGTGGGAAGTGGTGGTGGATGGGGAGGAGGGGGTGGTGATGGCAGTGGTGAGTGGGGTGGTTAAGCCGCTGAGCCATGGGGCAGTGCAGCCTGGGATGGTGCTGCCAGGTGCCAAGCACTTGGTGCAGTGATAAGGGATAGAGTGCGGTAGAGATGGTGGTTGGGCAGTGGTGGTGGCGATGGTGGTTTTGAGAGGTGTGGCCAAGCTGGTGAGTCATGCGGCAGTCAAGGCTGCTGGGTGTCAAGCACTTGGTGTCGTGATGGGAATGGCGGGAGTGGGGTGTGGTGATGGTGGGTGGGCAGTGGTGGTGGTGATGGCGGTGGTGAGGGGAGTGTGCTGCCAGGAATCAAGCACTTGGTGCGGTGATAATGGTAGGGTGCGGTGGTGGTGGGTGGGCAGTGGTGGTGGTGATGGCAGGGGCCAGTGATGGTAAGGGTTGCAATGGTGCCTCCAAGGTGCTTTTACTCCACTTCGCGTGTGTCTCGCGTAAAGTTGGGTGAGGTGGTGGTGGTGCTGGCACTGGCATGGCTATGTCTGAGGCGCCAAAAGGATCCTATCCTATTAGTGAGGGGCAGTATAGAAAGTTTCCTACTTGGGGAGTGTGTTGCTGGGTGTCTGTCTGGCGACTTGTGCTTTAGGTATGATGGTGGCATGGCAATGATGTACCTGTCTGTATAACTACAGCAAATCTTACCATTTGGAATTTCTTATTCACCAAGAGGACCTCCCAACGTGGGTACCCACTACCTAGGTTCGTTACAAGCCGTTGTCTCGCGGCACTCAGCCACAATCTATATGCAGACGTTCTATCTGTAGTTCGGTAGACTGCACGAATGTCTGTCTTGTATTGCTACCAACCTAACCACCCTCTGACAGTGGTATGGTACCTCACATCACAGCAGCACATTCAAGTACCTACACCTTCTCTGCAGGAAAACTCTTTGTTTCAAGCCACACAACACTGTTAAGAAAAGAAACAAAAACTTCTTCTACTGCTACCCACCAAGCCACTCTCTCTATAGCAGTGTGCTCCCTTGCTGCTCCTCTACCCATGAACCTCACGAGTCTTGAGGGTTTAGGCATGGCAACTTGTATCAACAAATGCCAACCCATGCCAACTCGTGCCAAATCATGCTAACTCGTGTCAACTAAAGGCGCTGGCGCTGCCACGTCAATACCATTCAGTACTCTCTCAGTACCCCCTAAATGCGTGCCACACACTCCTCTTTTGCACCCCACACGCCAGCACCATACTCAGCTGCAGCCCACACAGCACACCGTTTCTGCCCTTCCGCCCACTGCTCTTCACTATTCTCCCCATCACGTTGCTCCTCCGACTGCTCCTCCCACCCCCCCTCCCTCCCCCCCTCCCACTCCTCCTCCCAATCCCCCTCCCTCTGCTCCTCCCGCTCCTCCCCCCGCTCCCCCTTCCGCTCCCCTTTCCGCTCCCCCCTCCCCTCCCCCTTCCGCGCCCTGCTGATCCCCCATCTGTCCTTGTTTACGTCGGTTGCGATTGTTCCTCTTCTTCTTGCTTCCGCCGGAACGAGCCGCGCCCCCCCCAGTTCCCGCCCCTCCCGCCGCTCCGCCCGTCCCCGTTTTAAGCTGCTGGATAGCGGGTTTCGCGGCGTTCAGCAGCCACTCGAGCGTATCACCGTACGTCGCCTTGTCCGTTCCCAGCCGCAGCGCGTGCAACTCGAAAAACGCGCGCTGCATCTCCGGAGAAAACGACACGCACGAACACTGCGCGCCGCCCCCGCCCCCGCCTCCGCCACCGCTGCTCCCCGCCACGCCTCCCCCCATAACTCCGCTGCCTCCGCCGCCCCCGCCTCCGCCTCCGCCGTCTCCGCCGCTAAACCCGGCATTTCCGTCCGAATGGCTGGGTACGTCACCGCTCCCGCTCTCTCCTCCACCCCCTCCGCTCTCCGCGCCCGCCCCTCCCCTTCCGCGCCCTCGACCACCCCGCTGTCGCCCTCGCCCACCCCGCTGTCCCCTTCCGCCTGGCGCCGACGTTGCGGGGGCGCCGCCTTCCGCGCCGCTCGTACCACTGGCGGGGGGCGCATGTTCTCCCGCGGTAGCATGGCTGGCGGCTTCCGCCGCTGGCGCGGGCGCAGTGAGTGACGGTTTGACCTCCGCGGGGCCCGCTGGAACAGGCCGAATGGAATCTAGGTCCTGCATTGCGGGACACAAGACAAAAGCCTCCTTCGGGCGAGTAACTGCGGAAATCGGAACTGCGTCAGGAACTTTCCTGACTCCCCTAAGCCAGAATCGGATTTTCTGCTACAGGGTGTGAAGCTGGGAATCTGTGGCCGAAGGGGAGGGGACAGACGGAAGGTGCGGAATTTGGAAGGAAGATATTAGATTTGTAATACTGTAAGTTTGGTGCTCCTGTGCTGAAGACACCAAATCACCACTATCAACAGTGTGCTGCACTAATAATGATTGTTGAATGGTGAGGCGATTTATGTTTTTGCTCAAAACAACTTTCGGGAATGGATTGCAGCAGTACACGTGAAGCGGCTCGTGAATACGAGACAGCATGGAGATGCCACGTATGGATGAGCGCATTCTGACGAATGAAGTGGGTCAGATTGCCACGTGAAGGATTATGGGAGGAGGATAGAGGGTGCGTGCGTGGGCACTTGGCAATGGATTGCCAATGAAAGCAGGACACCGATTGGATCAAACGCAGAACACTTTCGGATGGATGGAGAACATACTACACTTCCTTACTACTGAACATATTTAGCAAAGAGTTTTTTGACATTGTAGCCAGGTATATTGGTTGTCCTAAAAAAATGATATGAACGCAGGGAGGCAAAGAACTTGCTGGATTTTGCCTCCCTAAGACGACGGGCCTTATGTCTTTCGCATGCGATTTGGGCTTGAGAGGAAGGGTGCAAACATTTTGTATGGTCCAACGGAGTGAGTGAGACCAACCAGTAGAAATACGTAGTCGTGTATTATTGCAACAGATGTTTCAAGACTTGCAACGGACATGAAATTCCCAGGGCGATGCTTAAGCTGCAGCTGAGAAGATTGCAACAGGGGAGCCTGAACATCACAGACAAGCATAGTGCAGCAGAACATCCGGAAATAGGAGACATGAATCTTAACTCAACTCCAACTTCCAACTTGCTCACAAGACACCTCACACCTGTGCAACACACACCTGTGGGACTGACACACAGAACGACACCAGAGTCCAATTTGAGGAACACCCCCCCTCCTCCCCCACACCTTCCTCTGCCCCCCTACACCCAAGTGGAACACAACACACCTGGCACAGCAGCAGAGATGCAGGAGGCGTCCTTGGAGTTGACGGCAGCAATAGCATCAGCATCTGATGTGAGGAACACCCTCCCCTCCCCTCCTCCCCTCCCCCCCCACTCCCTCTCCCTCCCTGGATAATACCAAGTGCAACACACCTGGCACAGCAGCAGAGATGCGGGCGGCGTCCTTGGAGTTGACGGCAGCAATAGCATCAGCATCTGATGTGAGGAACACCCTCCCCTCCCCTCCCCCTTTCCCCCCCCCCTCCCTCTCCCTCCCTGGATAATACCAAGTGCAACACACCTGGCACAGCAGCAGAGATGCGGGCGGCGTCCTTGGAGTTGACGGCAGCAATGGCATCGGCATCTGATGTGAGGAACACCGAGAACTGGTCTAACTGCAGTTGGCGCTGTTGGGTGGCAAGCAGCAATGCAGAGGGATGCAGAAAGATGTATTGAAAGGGATTAGGCACAAGAGTGGCAGCAGCGGCATCACTATCTGACGTGAGGGACACCAAGAACTGTTCCAGCTGCAGCTGGCGCTGTTGGGTGGCAAGGCACAAGGAGGAATGCAGTGAGGGAGAGAGATCAGGCACATGCAGAAACTGTGCTGTGCGGCGGAACACCTAAAATTGCTCACATGAAATGAGCTCGATGCAGAGACGCACTGAGGCGTACAATGATGCATATACTCTGGTGAGTGCTGATGTCAGCAGAACGGCATGCTCCGATCATGCTACGTCATCAGGCTGATGACGTCAGCATGGACCCGTGTCTCACCTTGATGAGGTCAGCATTCTCCCGCAGCACGTTGGCCTCGTCGAACTGCAGCCTCACGTCCAGAGCCTGATGTGGTGGGCGGTGGAATGGGGTGGAATGGGGTGGAATGGGGTGGAATGCGGTGGAATGTGGTGGAATGTGAACAAGGGAGAGCCACGCAGTGTGGGAGATGTGATGAACAAGAGCCCTGTGTGCACTGCCACAGCAGCACCTTGTGTTCCAGGTTCACGTTGCTCCAGCACAGACGCATTTGAGCAACAGGGGCTAAAATTGCCGTTTCACGGAACAAGGCAACAGGGCTAAGCTTGATAGAAGGTTAGCAAGGCAGAGGAAACAGCTGACCTGAGCGCCATGCAGCAGAGCAGCGTCCTTCTTGAATCGGATGAACCCCATGCACTGTCCCATCAGCTTCTTGAAGTCCGGGCGCTGGTGGTGGTGGTAGTGGTGGCAGGGATGGGAGAATGGGGGAAGCGGAAGGGGAGCGTGAGGGGAGGAGAAAGGGGGGAGGGGGTGTGAGTCAGTGTGGATGAATGAACCCCATGCACTGCCCCATCAGCTTCTTGAAGTCGGGGCACTGGCGGTGGGCAGGGATGGGAGAAGAGAGGAGGGGAGAGTGAAGAAAGCGGTGAGGAGAGAGTATGGGAAACTATCTTCACGGTCATGCAGTGCACTGCACTGCACTGCACTGCACTGCTCTGCACTGCTCTGCACTGCACTGCACTGCTCTGCACTGCACTGCACTGCACTGCACTGCACTGCTCTGCACTGCACTGCACTGCACTGCACTGCACTGCACTGCTCTGCACTGCACTGCACTGCACTGCACTGCTCTGCTCTGCTCTGCACTGCTCTAAACGCCCACCTCTCTTCCCCTCCTTCCCCTTCTTCCCCTTTTCCCTCTCCCCTCTTCCCTCACCTCCTCTCCATCCCCTTCCCAACTCACCTGCCCCACGGGGCTGGCTTTAAGAGCGTCCAGCAGCCCAGCATCATCCTGAAACACCCGCTTCTCTTCCCTCCTCCCTCTTCCCGTTTCCCCCCTCGCCTCCTCCCTCTTCCCGTTTCCCCCCTCGCCTCCTCCCTCTTCCCGTGTCCCCCCTCGCCTCCTCCCTCTTCCCGTTCCCCCCTCGCCTCCTCCCTCTTCCCGTTTCCCCCCTCCCTTTCTCCCTCCCCTTCCTCTCCATCCCTTTCATCTCACCTGGCCAATGGGGCTGGCTTTAAGAGCGTCCAGCAGCCCAGCGTTACCAATAAACACCTGCATCTCCCCCCTTCCCCCCCGTTCCCTCACACCACTCTCCCCATTCTCCCCCCATCCTCGTTGCACCTCACCTGGCCAACAGGGCTGGCTTTAAGCGCGTCCAGCAGACCAGCATCATCGTTGAAAACCTTCTTCTCCGCATCAAAGTGCTTCTGCAGCAGCCCAAGGCACTCCGCCTGCCAACCGCCGTACTGCTCGGCCACAAACACCACCCCCACCGCTATCTTCGGTGCCTCCTTCGGTACCGCCGCTGCTTTCCCTCCCTTGGCCTTCCCGCCTCCCCCTGCTGACGCCTGCTGCTTGGTGATGAGCTTGCGGAAATCCACTATGCAGTCCTGTGTAGGGGAGGTGGCGAGGGGAGGGATGAAGAGGTGGTAAGAGGGAGGGGGAGGAGGGAGGAGGGAGGAAGGGGAGGGGAGAAAAGGGGGGTCAGTGGGGCAAGAATGACAGTGGTGCTGCTTCTCAAGGCATTCTAACATACCGCTGCTTCGTGACGACCTTGTGCCAGCAAGTGTAGACATGCGCACATACACACCTTAAGGGTCATGTCAGCACGTGCTGCTTCCGGTGGTAAGCAAGGCAAGTCAACGGGTATCACACATGCGCGTACGCAAGAACACACGAGCACACCTGCAGGTACGTGTTCGCCGCCTTGAGGGTCATGTCGGCAGGCGCTGCTTTCGGTGCCTAGCACACACATGCATGTATAGAAGAACACACGAGCACACCTGCAGGTACGTGTTGGCTGCCTTGAGGGTCATGTCAGCAGGCGCTGCTTCCGGCCATCCAGCTGTGATGCCTGCCCCGGGCAGCTTCAGAATATTTCTCCACACGTGCTCCCCGTAATGCGGGCAGATCTGGAAAAATTACGTCCAACGAAAACGAAGGGTGGAGGGGATGCATGCACTCGATAGGGTGGTGGCGGATTAGCTAACGTCAGCATCAACGCTTCCTGTGTGCATCGGCATGTGCATGAGCATGTGCACGTGCATGTGTATTTGCATGAGCATGAGTATCATTAGCATCTTCTTTCATCACCCCAGCACCCCGATCATCCCATCACCCCCATCGCACCGGCATGAGCAGCAGAGTCTGCACTTTGCAGAAGCGCAGGTCCTTATACGTGAGTTTGAGACCCACCCCGTTCACTCCAGTCCCATCACATTACATCACAGCACACCCATCACCCCCATCACCCCCATCACCCCCATCACCCCCATCACCCCCATCACCCCCATCACACCCATCACCCCCATCACCCCCATCACACCCATCACCCCCATCACCCCCATCACCCCCATCACCCCCATCACCCCCATCGCCCCCATCACCCCCATCACCCCAATCGCACCGGCATGAGCAGCAGCGTCTGCACTTTGCAGAAGGGCATCAGCAGGTCCGTGTGCATGGCCCCATGGGCATGAGGGGCTCAGCACGGGAAGCAAGGCAAAAGCAGGTCCGTGTGCATGGCCCCATGGGCATGAGTTTCAGCCCCACCCCGTTAGCCCCAGTCCCATCACATCACAGCACACCCATCACATCACAGCACACCCATCACATCACAGCACACCCATCACATCACAGCACACCCATCACATCACAGCACACCCATCACATCACAGCACACCCATCACATCACAGCACACCCATCACATCACAGCACACCCATCACTCCAATTGATCCCAGAACCGCACCGGCATGAGCAGCAGCGTCTGCACTTTGCAGAAGCGCAAAAGCAGGTCCTTGTGCATGCCCGCTGCTCCACATGACAGCCGGTACTCGTCCCGTGCGAGCTGAGACGGGGGAGGGGAAGGGGCGGACAGGGGACTGATGTGACGAGCAGCACGAAAATGAAGGCAGCAGCAGGTCCGTGTGCATGCCCGCTGCTCCGCACGATAGGCGGTACTCGTCCCGTGCGAGCTGGGAGGGAGTTGAAGGAAGAGACGGGTGGATAAAGGGGACAGATGGGCCGTGCAGCATGGCAATGAAGGCAGCAGCAGGTCCTTGTGCATGCCTGCTGCTCCGCACGACAGCCGGTACTCGTCTCGTGCGAGCTGCGATGAGGGAGAGGATGGATCAACGGAAAAATGGAATGGTGAGCACACCAACAAAGACAGCAGCAGGTCCGTCCGTGTGCATGCCCGCCGCCCCGCACGACAGCCGGTACTCGTCCCGTGCTAGCTGCAAGGATAGAGAGGGGAGAAGACAAAGGGACAGGTAGAATGTTCAGCACACCAATGACGGCTGCTGGTGCAGTTCAAACAAGACAGCAGAGCAGAGCAGCGTACCTGCATGAAAAAACCTGCCATGCCAAGGGGCGAATGCCTCACCTGCAGGTCGAAGAAGCCCGTTTTGAGGGCCTTGCAGAACAGCATGTTGTCGAAAGCTGCTTTAGAGAGAGCCACAGCGAGATTGATCTCGTTCTCAAACACCCGGTCTGCGAATGACCGCTCGTCCCCGGTGCGCAGACCGCCCTCTGTGGCTGCTGACGCCAGCACTTCCTCCATCCACGTCATCTCCCTGACAGTTGACAGGCGTGGGGGAAGGAGGGAGGCGTGAGAGAAGAGCCACAGCGAGGTTGATCTCGTTCTCAAACACCCGGTCTGCAAACGACCAAAGACACGGCAAACCAGCCAGCTAGACCACACAGCGCAGCAGCACAAGCAGCCTCTCACATGGTAACCCTTTGAACGGACAGCTTACTTGGTGAGCCTGAGAATGGCAGCATTGGCAGTCTCCTCCACGAAGTAAGCATCATCCACCGTGCCACCCGCATCTGCACTCCCTAACCCCACCCACATGGTGCTGCAAGGCAGCCTGGCCCCATCTCACAGCCCAAGCAGCCCCTGTCTTACTTGGTGAGCCTCAGAATGGCGGCGTTGGCAGTCTCCTCCACGAAGTTAGCATCGTCCACCGTGTCACCCGCATCTGTCAGGGCAAGGCGGACTACACCACACAGCCTGGCTAGGCCACACAGGGCACCCCAAGCAGCGTGCACTGCAGCTTACTTTGTGAGCCTCAGGATGGCAGCATTGGCAGTCTCCTCCACGAAGTTGGCATCATCCACCGTGTCACCCGCATCCGCCAGGGCGAAGCGAGTTGCGTCCGATGAGAACTCCTCTGTGTGGGGGAGTTTGGAGAGCAGGGCGGGGGCAACGGGAGGGCGGTCGACGGACAAACCAAGGGGGTTCACCAACTAAGACCGGAGTGTCTCCCGCATCCGCGAGGGCGAAGCGAGTGGCTTCCAACAAGAACTCCTCTGGAGGGGGTAGGGCGAGGCGGTGCAGGCAGGCGAGGACAGTAGAACGACAAGTGAACAGGCTCTTGGGACAAGATTTGGACATCTTCTCCGAGGTGAGCAGCAGATGGCTTCTGAGTTGATGTTGTGTTAGCACACCCTAGCATTGCAACAACAGTGGATTTGAGCGCGCCTGGTATCTACCAAGCAAGGACAGCGCATGAGAAAGCAACGCACCGATGGCCTGGCGGAGGGTCTTGAAGTTTTCAGTAGATTTGGACATTTTCTCCGAGTTGAGCAGCAGATGGCCTCTGAGGCACACAGAGACACACACGCTACCTATCCTTGTAACCTATTTGCAGCCTACCACACGGGGAAAGAGCTAATGATCTCACCTACAGCCTGGCGGAAGGTCTTGAAGTTTTCAGTAGATTTGGACATTTTCTCAGAGTTGAGCAGCAGATGGCATAGGAGGCAAACAGGACACACACCCTATCCACGCTAGTAACCTGCACACACCCTACCCACGCTAGTAACCTACACACAGCCAACCGCACGGGGAAAGACCTGGTCAACGCACCTATCGCCTGGCGGATGGTCTTGAAGTTGCCGGTCGATTTGGACATCTTCCCAAAGTTGAGCAGCAGATGGCCTCCCAGTCAACACAGAGAGACACACCCTATCCAACCTAGTAGCACACATAAAGGGGCGTGCGTGAAAACGCATCTCACCTATGGCCTGGCGAATCGTCTTGAAGTTGCCGGTCGACTTGGACATCTTCTCCGAGTTGAGCAGCAGATGGCCGTTGGTGCGGAATCCCCTCGGCCATTGCTCCTGTTGTGTGGTGTGGTGTGGTGTGGTGCGGTGTGGTGTGGTGTGGTGTGGTGTGGTGTAGGGTCAGGGTGTAAGGTGGTGTAGGGTGGTGTAGGGTGTGGTGTGGTGACAGAAGTGTGAAAGTGTGACCATGATGAGAGGCATACAAATCAGGACAAGTGCACAACCCGTCCCATCCCATCCAAAGGCAAATGCATTGTACCACCTATTGCCGCAAGCTCAGCTTACATGAACAGTATTGGAGACAAAACGCGTGAATTTATAAAACTGCATACTTATAACGAACCTTGGGGAACACTGCGGTGTGATTGTATAGAGGTGCCAGTGCTTATAACGAAACAAACCTTGGGGAACATGGCGGTGTGATTGTAGATGGCGAAGGTGAGATGGTTGATGATCAGGTCCTTCGCAGGTTTGGGGTGGTGTGGTGTGGTGCGATTCCATGGTGGAGGTGGTTATAACGAACCTTGGGGAACATGGCGGTGTGATTGTAGATGGCGAAGGTGAGGTGGTTGTTGATCAGGTCCTTCCCCGACACTCGCAGGTCAAACGGGTACCAGTACTCAAACTCTGCCCGCGCACGCTGTCAAGGGGGTTTGAAATTCAGGAAGGGAAGGGAAGAGAAAGGTGAAATGCGTCAAACGGGTAACAATCCTTCGAAAGGGGCGCACGCACGCTGCCATGGGTTCAGGGGTTTTGGTGGGGTTGTGGGGGTTTAGAGGGAAGGAAGAGCCAGGCGAGGAGGTGATTTTTTATGAGGTCCATCCCCGGTACCAGTACTCAAACTCCGCCCGCGCACGCTGTCAAGGGGGTTTGAGGTGCAGGTTTGAGGTGCAGGTTTGAGGTGCAGGTTTGAGGTGCCGGTTTGAGGTGCAGGTTTGAGGTGCAGGTTTGAGGTGCAGGTTTGAGGAGCAGGTTTGAGGTGCAGGTTTGAGGTGCAGGCTTGAGGTGCAGGTATGAGGTGCAGGTTTGAGGTGCAGGTTTGAGGTGCAGGTTTGAGGTGCAGGTTTGAGGTGGAGGTTTGAGGTGCAGGTTTGAGGTGCAGGTTTGAGGTGCCGGTTTGAGGTGCAGGTTTGAGGTGCAGGTTTGAGGTGCAGGTTTGAGGTGCCGGTTTGAGGTGCAGGTTTGAGGTGCAGGTTTGAGGTGCAGGCTTGAGGTGCAGGTATGAGGTGCAGGTTTGAGGTGCAGGTTTGAGGTGCAAGTTTGAGGTGCAAGTTTGAGGTGCAGGTTTGAGGTGCCGGTTTGAGGTGCCGGTTTGAGGTGCAGGTTTGAGGTGCAGGTTTGAGGTGCAGATTTGAGGTGCAGGTTTGAGGTGCAGGTTTGAGGTGGAGGTTTGAGGTGCAGGTTTGAGGTGCAGGTTTGAGGTGCCGGTTTGAGGTGCAGGTTTGAGGTGCAGGTTTGAGGTGCAGGTTTGAGGTGCCGGTTTGAGGTGCAGGTTTGAGGTGCAGGTTTGAGGTGCAGGCTTGAGGTGCAGGTATGAGGTGCAGGTTTGAGGTGCAGGTTTGAGGTGCAAGTTTGAGGTGCAGGTTTGAGGTGCAGGCTTGAGGTGCAGGTATGAGGTGCAGGTTTGAGGTGCAGGTTTGAGGTGCAGGTTTGAGGTGCAGGTTTGAGGTGGAGGTTTGAGGTGCAGGTTTGAGGTGCAGGTTTGAGGTGCCGGTTTGAGGTGCAGGTTTGAGGTGCAGGTTTGAGGTGCAGGTTTGAGGTGCCGGTTTGAGGTGCAGGTTTGAGGTGCAGGTTTGAGGTGCAGGCTTGAGGTGCAGGTATGAGGTGCAGGTTTGAGGTGCAGGTTTGAGGTGCAAGTTTGAGGTGCAAGTTTGAGGTGCAGGTTTGAGGTGCCGGTTTGAGGTGCCGGTTTGAGGTGCAGGTTTGAGGTGCAGGTTTGAGGTGCAGATTTGAGGTGCAGGTTTGAGGTGCAGGTTTGAGGTGCAGGTTTGAGGTGCAGGTTTGAGGTGCAGGTTTGAGGTGCAGGTTTGACGTCAGGTTTGAGGTGCAGGTTTGAGGTCAGGTTTGAGGTGCAGGTTTGAGGTCAGGTTTGAGGTGCAGGTTGGAGGTGCCGGTTTGAGGTGCAGGTTGAGGTGCAGGTTTGAGGTGCAGGTTTGAGGTGCAGGTTTGAGGTGCAGGTTTGAGGTGCAGGTTTGAGGTGCAGGTTTGAGGTGCCGGTTTGAGGTGCAGGTTTGAGGTCAGGTTTGAGGTGCAGGTTTGAGGTGCCGGTTTGAGGTGCAGGTTTGAGGTGCAGGTTTGAGGTGCAGGTTTGAGGTGCAGGTTTGAGGTGCAGGTTTGAGGTGCAGGTTTGAGGTGCAGGTTTGAGGTGCAGGTTTGAGGTGCAGGTTTGAGGTGCCGGTTTGAGGTGCAGGTTTGAGGTGCAGGTTTGAGGTGCCGGTTTGAGGTGCAGGTTTGAGGTGCAGGTTTGAGGTGCAGGCTTGAGGTGCAGGTTTGAGGTGCAGATTTGAGGTGCAGGTTTGAGGTGCAGGTTTGAGGTGCAGGTTTGAGGTGCAGGTTTGAGGTGCAGGTTTGAGGTGCAGGTTTGACGTCAGGTTTGAGGTGCAGGTTTGAGGTCAGGTTTGAGGTGCAGGTTTGAGGTCAGGTTTGAGGTGCAGGTTGGAGGTGCCGGTTTGAGGTGCAGGTTTGAGGTGCAGGTTTGAGGTGCAGGTTTGAGGTGCAGGTTTGAGGTGCAGGTTTGAGGTGCAGGTTTGAGGTGCAGGTTTGAGGTGCCGGTTTGAGGTGCAGGTTTGAGGTCAGGTTTGAGGTGCAGGTTTGAGGTGCCGGTTTGAGGTGCAGGTTTGAGGTGCAGGTTTGAGGTGCAGGTTTGAGGTGCAGGTTTGAGGTGCAGGTTTGAGGTGCAGGTTTGAGGTGCAGGCTTGAGGTGCAGGTTTGAGGTGCAGGTTTGAGGTGCCGGTTTGAGGTGCAGGTTTGAGGTGCAGGTTTGAGGTGCAGGTTTGAGGTGCAGGTTTGAGGTGCAGGTTTGAGGTGCAGGTTTGAGGTGCAGGTTTGAGGTGCAGGTTTGAGGTGCAGGTTTGAGGTGCAGGTTTGAGGTGCAGGTTTGAGGTGCAGGTTTGAGGTGCAGGTTTGAGGTGCAGGTTTGAGGTGCAGGTTTGAGGTGCAGGTTTGAGGTGCAGGTTTGAGGTGCAGGTTTGAGGTGCAGGTTTGAGGTGCAGGTTTGAGGTGCCGGTTTGAGGTGCAGGTTTGAGGTGCAGGTTTGAGGTGCAGGTTTGAGGTGCAGGTTTGAGGTGCCGGTTTGAGGTGCAGGTTTGAGGTGCAGGTTTGAGGTGCAGGTTTGAGGTGCAGGTTTGAGGTGCCGGTTTGAGGTCAGGCGGGCTTGGGCGCGCTGAGCAGCAGATGGCTCCCCTGCTGGACGGTGCAGCACGGTGCTACAATTAACCTCACAGAAGAGATGGCTCCCCTGCTGGACTGCAATACCCCACCTGCTTCCCCTCACCTGCAGCAGGTCGTCATGAACAGGGCAGTCAGCAGGCTTGGGCGCGCCCTGCAACAGATGGTCCCAGAGGGCGTGGGAGAGGTGCTCGGGCTTGACACACACCACCCTATGGGCCTAATCTCCCTCACCTGCTGCACATCCTTCTACCTCATCCCGCTCACCTGCAGCACGTCATCGGGGACAGCGCAGTCGGCGGGCTTGGGAGCGCCCTGCAGCAGATGGTCCCAGAGGGCGTGGGAGAGGTGCTCGGGCTTGATGCTCTGCTTGCCTGACGTGCCAAAGATGTCGCCCTCCTGCATGGGGGGAAGTAGGTGGTGATGGGGAGTGGGCGGTGGTTGGCGAGAGGAGGGGCAAGCGTGAAAGCGGTGGTGGGATTGAATGTTCTGAAGTGGGAGAGGTGCTCGGGCTTGATGCTCTGCTTGCCTGACGTGCCAAAGATGTCACCCTCCTGATTGGGTGGAGTGAAGCAAGGAGAAGAAGAAGGACAGGGCTGTGTGACGTGCTCCTCCAACAGGGTTATGGGTAAGTGGTGGTGACTAATGAATGTGAGGGCGAATGGGAATGTAGAGAGGTCAGACTTTATGCTCTTCCTGCCTCATGTGCCAATAAATATGTCGCCCTCCTGCTCAGGAGAGCAACTCATAAGGTACCTCACTCATTTGAAAGCCTGAAGCACCGCACTCAACCCATCTCACTCAACTGCGTGTGACTCACCTGGAGAATATGGGAGAGCGTGTAGAGGGCCATGTAGATGGTGCTGTCAGACAGGGACTCAAGAGTCATCTAACTTGTCTGGATGCCTGTAGCACCGCACTTAAAAACCCATCTCACCTGGAGAATATGCGAGAGCGTGTAGTAGGCCATGTAGATGGTGCTGTTGGAGAGCGACTCGATGAGGAACTGCGGAGGACTCAGCAGGTGCACCTGAAGCACCATTAGCACCGCACTCAACCCATCTCACTCACCTGGAGGATGTGCGAGAGCGTGTAGTAGGCCATGTAGATGGTGCTGTCAGAGAGGGACTCAATGAGGAACTGTGGGTCCCATGGGATGCGCGTGCCCAGGCCGAAGGAGCGAGAACACGCCCACTGGGAGATGGGAGGAAAGGGACGAAAAAGGAGGCAGATGAAGGAAGATCGAGGATTAGACCACCGAAACACCCACGGAGACCATGGAAGGATAAATAGTGAGACACCCCCTCCAATTTCTTCCTATCCGTCCACCCCTATTCTCCTCCGCCCCCATCTCTCACCCTATCACCCTCACTATCTCACCCTGTCGAGCCATCCCAGCGTGTCCTGAAACCCGTGCCGGGTCTCCTCGTTGTAAAGCTGCACGCCCGCAAGACACTCCTCTGCCAGCGCCCTTTCTCCCGTGCCCCCTCCCTTCCCTCTCATTCCGCCCATCCCCATTCCTTCCCCAATATCTCACCCTATCCAGCCACCCCAGAGTGTGCTGAAACCCGTGCCGGGTCTCCTCGCTGTAGAGCTGCATGCTCGCAAGGCACTCCTCTGCCAGCGCCCTTTCCCTGCACTGCACGCCCCCTCCATTCTCTTTTATTCCACCCACGCCTATCCCCCCACAGGCTCACTCACCCTATCCAGCCACCCCAGAGTGTGCTGAAACCCGTGCCGGGTCTCCTCGCTGAAGAGCTGCATGCTCGCAAGGCACTCCTCTGCCAGTGCCCTTTCCCTGCACTGCACGCCCCCTTCATTCCCTTTTACTCCACCCACGCCTATCCCCCCACAGGCTCACTCACCCTATCCAGCCATCCCAGAGTGTGCTGGAACCCGTGCCGTGTCTCCTCGTTGTAAAGCTGCATGCCCGCCAGACACTCCTCTGCCTGTGCGCGCCACTGCTCCTCCCCGTACGTGAGGTACCACTGATCCGTCAGCGCCACCACACACTCGTCCCCTGACCGGGAGGTTACTCTTTTCTCCGGCTCACTGTATGGTACTGCTTCACCCCGCTCCACCAGCAACTGAGCGGGGAGGAGAGGAGGATGGGAAAGGGAAAGAGCAGGAAGTGAGGTACCACCACTCCTCTGCCAGCGCGCGCCACTGCTCCTCGCCGTACGTGAGGTACCACTGGTCTGTCAGCGCCACCACACACTCGTCGCCTGACCGCGATGTGACACGCTTCTCCGGTTCACTGTATGGCACTGCCTCTCCTCTTTCGATCAACAGCTGGAGGGAGGGAGAAGGAAGGGAGAGGAAAGCCGCATGTGAGGTACCACTGGTCAGTCAGCGCCACCACACACTCGTCCCATGACCGTCAAACAACCCGCTTCACTCGCTTGCTGTATGGCACTTCTCTCACCGCGCTTAATCAACAGTTCGCGGGAGGAGGGAAGTGGAGAGGGAACAAGAGCAGGGGAAGGGTGCGGAGTGGAATAGTCAGGTACCACTCCCATGTGCGTATGCGCAACACACTCAATCCAGACCTTAACACAGACTTGTTCGTTCTGAGACAACCCCATTCTGTGGCTTGCCGTCCTGTTTCTTTTAAGGCGCCTCAACAAAAGAAATCAGCTGACATCACCACAGGGTCCACATACCTTTTTTATCTGCGGCTTGGCGTCCTGCACTTTGCTTCCCTTCAACTCGCCCACCAGCATCACTCCATCCGTGAAACCCTGCACACATGAGAGGAGGAAAAGACAGCGGCAAAGAAGAAATTATGTTTAGGGTTTAAGGTTTAAGGTTTAGGAGGAAAAGACAGTGGCAAACTCTAAGAGCTTATGACAAAGGAGCGGTTGTGTCTGGGCTGAACATTGATGGAGAAAAAGGAAAATGAAGGAACAGTTCGTACATATTTGTGGCTAAAACATTTGCTGTAAATGGAATATCTCAAAGTGAGAAATGAGATTCTTCGCTCACTTTGAGATAACTGATTTTCTTCACCATTCCCCCACCTTGAGGTAAGTGAGTCTCTTAGCCTCGGCCAGCTTCTCCTTGTCGTTCTGGCTCTGGATCTTGAGATCCTGGCACACTTTGACTGCTGCTGCATCACCAAACTCGGGGATGTTTATAATGGGGATGACCTCAAAGGGCAGCACCCACTCGTCCTTCACATTGAACTTGGCTCGCAGGGCTGGGGCGGGGTGGGGTGGGGTGAGGTGGGGTGGGGTGGGTTGGGTTGGGGTTGGGAACAGTAAGCCAGGAGCAGCAACGGTACAAAGGGGTGGAGGAGTGGAGAAAGGGCAGGGACGGAGCACGTGCAAGAGCATATGACCTCGAATGGCAGCACCCACTCGTCCTTCACGTTGAACTTGGCTCGCAGGGCTGCAGTGGGGTGGGGTGGGATGGGGCGGGGTGGTTTTGGGGTTAAGAACAGTACGCCAGGAGCGAGAACGGTGCAAAGGAGTGGAGGAGCGGAAAAGGGAACTGAGAAAGTGCAACAGCAGATGATCTCAAATGCAGCAGCCACTCGTCCTTCACGTTCAACGTATACATGCCTGTATGCATGTCTCTACGTATACATGCGTGTATGCATGTCTCTACGTATACATGTGTGCATGCATGTCTCTACGTATACATGTGTGCATGCATGTCTCTATGTATGCATGCATGGATGTATGTATGCAGGTATGCATGTACCCCATCCCATGCCTCACCAGGCTTGCTCTTGAGGTCCTGCAGTGCCATGTACTCATCCGGTGCATCGCTGAGCACACTGGATGGTACGGTGTCTTGTCTCTCCGTATCATACATACTCTATGCGTGCATGCATTCCTGCTGTGCCGCTCACCAGGCTTGCTCTTGAGGTCCTGCAGAGCCATGTAGTCGTCCGGTGCATACTGTACCTTATGCACATGTGTATGCATGCATGTCTGTATGGATGCATCGTGACATGTACCCCACGGCTCACCAGGCTTGCTCTTGAGGTCCTGCAGAGCCATGTAGTCGTCCGGTGCATACCGTACCTTATGCACATGTGTATGCATGCATGTCTGTATGGATGCATCGTGACATGTACCCCACGGCTCACCAGGCTTGCTCTTGAGGTCCTGCAGAGCCATGTAGTCGTCCGGTGCATACTGTACCTTATGCACATGTGTATGCATGCATGTCTGTATGGATGCATCGTGACATGTACCCCACGGCTCACCAGGCTTGCTCTTGAGGTCCTGCAGAGCCATGTAGTCGTCCGGTGCATACTGTACCTTATGCACATGTGTATGCATGCATGTCTGTATGGATGCATCGTGACATGTACCCCACGGCTCACCAGGCTTGCTCTTGAGGTCCTGCAGAGCCATGTAGTCGTCCGGTGCATACTGTACCTTATGCACATGTGTATGCATGCATGTCTGTATGGATGCATCGTGACATGTACCCCACGGCTCACCAGGCTTGCTCTTGAGGTCCTGCAGAGCCATGTAGTCGTCCGGTGCATACTGTACCTTATGCACATGTGTATGCATGCATGTCTGTATGGATGCATCGTGACATGTACCCCACGGCTCACCAGGCTTGCTCTTGAGGTCCTGCAGAGCCATGTAGTCGTCCGGTGCATACTGTACCTTATGCACATGTGTATGCATGCATGTCTGTATGGATGCATCGTGACATGTACCCCACGGCTCACCAGGCTTGCTCTTGAGGTCCTGCAGAGCCATGTAGTCGTCCGGTGCATACTGTACCTTATGCACATGTGTATGCATGCATGTCTGTATGGATGCATCGTGACATGTACCCCACGGCTCACCAGGCTTGCTCTTGAGGTCCTGCAGAGCCATGTAGTCGTCCGGTGCATACTGTACCTTATGCACATGTGTATGCATGCATGTCTGTATGGATGCATCGTGACATGTACCCCACGGCTCACCAGGCTTGCTCTTGAGGTCCTGCAGAGCCATGTAGTCGTCCGGTGCATACTGTACCTTATGCACATGTGTATGCATGCATGTCTGTATGGATGCATCGTGACATGTACCCCACGGCTCACCAGGCTTGCTCTTGAGGTCCTGCAGAGCCATGTAGTCGTCCGGTGCATACTGTACCTTATGCACATGTGTATGCATGCATGTCTGTATGGATGCATCGTGACATGTACCCCACGGCTCACCAGGCTTGCTCTTGAGGTCCTGCAGAGCCATGTAGTCGTCCGGTGCATACTGTACCTTATGCACATGTGTATGCATGCATGTCTGTATGGATGCATCGTGACATGTACCCCACGGCTCACCAGGCTTGCTCTTGAGGTCCTGCAGAGCCATGTAGTCGTCCGGTGCATACTGTACCTTATGCACATGTGTATGCATGCATGTCTGTATGGATGCATCGTGACATGTACCCCACGGCTCACCAGGCTTGCTCTTGAGGTCCTGCAGAGCCATGTAGTCGTCCGGTGCATACTGTACCTTATGCACATGTGTATGCATGCATGTCTGTATGGATGCATCGTGACATGTACCCCACGGCTCACCAGGCTTGCTCTTGAGGTCCTGCAGAGCCATGTAGTCGTCCGGTGCATACCGTACCTTATGCACATGTGTATGCATGCATGTCTGTATGGATGCATCGTGACATGTACCCCACGGCTCACCAGGCTTGCTCTTGAGGTCCTGCAGAGCCATGTAGTCGTCCGGTGCATACTGTACCTTATGCACATGTGTATGCATGCATGTCTGTATGGATGCATCGTGACATGTACCCCACGGCTCACCAGGCTTGCTCTTGAGGTCCTGCAGAGCCATGTAGTCGTCCGGTGCATACTGTACCTTATGCACATGTGTATGCATGCATGTCTGTATGGATGCATCGTGACATGTACCCCACGGCTCACCAGGCTTGCTCTTGAGGTCCTGCAGAGCCATGTAGTCGTCCGGTGCATACTGTACCTTATGCACATGTGTATGCATGCATGTCTGTATGGATGCATCGTGACATGTACCCCACGGCTCACCAGGCTTGCTCTTGAGGTCCTGCAGAGCCATGTAGTCGTCCGGTGCATACTGTACCTTATGCACATGTGTATGCATGCATGTCTGTATGGATGCATCGTGACATGTACCCCACGGCTCACCAGGCTTGCTCTTGAGGTCCTGCAGAGCCATGTAGTCGTCCGGTGCATACTGTACCTTATGCACATGTGTATGCATGCATGTCTGTATGGATGCATCGTGACATGTACCCCACGGCTCACCAGGCTTGCTCTTGAGGTCCTGCAGAGCCATGTAGTCGTCCGGTGCATACTGTACCTTATGCACATGTGTATGCATGCATGTCTGTATGGATGCATCGTGACATGTACCCCACGGCTCACCAGGCTTGCTCTTGAGGTCCTGCAGAGCCATGTAGTCGTCCGGTGCATACTGTACCTTATGCACATGTGTATGCATGCATGTCTGTATGGATGCATCGTGACATGTACCCCACGGCTCACCAGGCTTGCTCTTGAGGTCCTGCAGAGCCATGTAGTCGTCCGGTGCATACTGTACCTTATGCACATGTGTATGCATGCATGTCTGTATGGATGCATCGTGACATGTACCCCACGGCTCACCAGGCTTGCTCTTGAGGTCCTGCAGAGCCATGTAGTCGTCCGGTGCATACTGTACCTTATGCACATGTGTATGCATGCATGTCTGTATGGATGCATCGTGACATGTACCCCACGGCTCACCAGGCTTGCTCTTGAGGTCCTGCAGAGCCATGTAGTCGTCCGGTGCATACTGTACCTTATGCACATGTGTATGCATGCATGTCTGTATGGATGCATCGTGACATGTACCCCACGGCTCACCAGGCTTGCTCTTGAGGTCCTGCAGAGCCATGTAGTCGTCCGGTGCATACTGTACCTTATGCACATGTGTATGCATGCATGTCTGTATGGATGCATCGTGACATGTACCCCACGGCTCACCAGGCTTGCTCTTGAGGTCCTGCAGAGCCATGTAGTCGTCCGGTGCATACTGTACCTTATGCACATGTGTATGCATGCATGTCTGTATGGATGCATCGTGACATGTACCCCACGGCTCACCAGGCTTGCTCTTGAGGTCCTGCAGAGCCATGTAGTCGTCCGGTGCATACTGTACCTTATGCACATGTGTATGCATGCATGTCTGTATGGATGCATCGTGACATGTACCCCACGGCTCACCAGGCTTGCTCTTGAGGTCCTGCAGAGCCATGTAGTCGTCCGGTGCATACTGTACCTTATGCACATGTGTATGCATGCATGTCTGTATGGATGCATCGTGACATGTACCCCACGGCTCACCAGGCTTGCTCTTGAGGTCCTGCAGAGCCATGTAGTCGTCCGGTGCATACTGTACCTTATGCACATGTGTATGCATGCATGTCTGTATGGATGCATCGTGACATGTACCCCACGGCTCACCAGGCTTGCTCTTGAGGTCCTGCAGAGCCATGTAGTCGTCCGGTGCATACTGTACCTTATGCACATGTGTATGCATGCATGTCTGTATGGATGCATCGTGACATGTACCCCACGGCTCACCAGGCTTGCTCTTGAGGTCCTGCAGAGCCATGTAGTCGTCCGGTGCATACTGTACCTTATGCACATGTGTATGCATGCATGTCTGTATGGATGCATCGTGACATGTACCCCACGGCTCACCAGGCTTGCTCTTGAGGTCCTGCAGAGCCATGTAGTCGTCCGGTGCATACTGTACCTTATGCACATGTGTATGCATGCATGTCTGTATGGATGCATCGTGACATGTACCCCACGGCTCACCAGGCTTGCTCTTGAGGTCCTGCAGAGCCATGTAGTCGTCCGGTGCATACTGTACCTTATGCACATGTGTATGCATGCATGTCTGTATGGATGCATCGTGACATGTACCCCACGGCTCACCAGGCTTGCTCTTGAGGTCCTGCAGAGCCATGTAGTCGTCCGGTGCATACTGTACCTTATGCACATGTGTATGCATGCATGTCTGTATGGATGCATCGTGACATGTACCCCACGGCTCACCAGGCTTGCTCTTGAGGTCCTGCAGAGCCATGTAGTCGTCCGGTGCATACTGTACCTTATGCACATGTGTATGCATGCATGTCTGTATGGATGCATCGTGACATGTACCCCACGGCTCACCAGGCTTGCTCTTGAGGTCCTGCAGAGCCATGTAGTCGTCCGGTGCATACTGTACCTTATGCACATGTGTATGCATGCATGTCTGTATGGATGCATCGTGACATGTACCCCACGGCTCACCAGGCTTGCTCTTGAGGTCCTGCAGAGCCATGTAGTCGTCCGGTGCATACTGTACCTTATGCACATGTGTATGCATGCATGTCTGTATGGATGCATCGTGACATGTACCCCACGGCTCACCAGGCTTGCTCTTGAGGTCCTGCAGAGCCATGTAGTCGTCCGGTGCATACCGTACCTTATGCACATGTGTATGCATGCATGTCTGTATGGATGCATCGTGACATGTACCCCACGGCTCACCAGGCTTGCTCTTGAGGTCCTGCAGAGCCATGTAGTCGTCCGGTGCATACTGTACCTTATGCACATGTGTATGCATGCATGTCTGTATGGATGCATCGTGACATGTACCCCACGGCTCACCAGGCTTGCTCTTGAGGTCCTGCAGAGCCATGTAGTCGTCCGGTGCATACTGTACCTTATGCACATGTGTATGCATGCATGTCTGTATGGATGCATCGTGACATGTACCCCACGGCTCACCAGGCTTGCTCTTGAGGTCCTGCAGAGCCATGTAGTCGTCCGG